TATAAAAACAAGGGGGGGGGGGGGGGGGGGGGGGAATCATCACTTGACTGCTTTGGGGTCCCATTAGAGATGTGGGGAGCAAAAGCAGAGGAATGTCCCTGTGGAGGCATTCAGCTAACCTTATCCTCACCTATCACTCAGAGAAGCATAACTCTTACAGATTCACGCATGTTCACAGAAGTCGCATTTTAACTGCTTCTGCTGGCTCGACAGTATTTAATGCAGACTTCACCCGAAGACTGCCGGGCACTACCTGGTTGTATTCTCACCCCAGTGGAAGTGGTTCGGGTACAGCCTGTCAAAGGGTTTTGGATGCAGCATCTTTCTACAGGGAAGCAGGCTGGATTTCAGCTTCCTCATTTATTTTCTTATTGTTCACATTCATATTTGAGTAATATCTCCGTTCAATATTATATGTAAAGATATTTAATGCATCGTCTCTTTCAGTGTTTCAATCATATTGAAAGATTTAATGGTACCAAAATGAAGCAAGGATAGCAGCCCTGTGTGGGAGTGAATCCTGTTCAAGCGATCACCGTGGAAAGGACACAACAGGGCCCTGCATAGATGTGGCCTAACGAGCCCGTCATCACCCTGGATCCCTGAGGCACCGCTAGCAACACTTGTGCCTTCCCAAGGTTATGGGCACACAAACAAGTTACTACAATATATGCTAGGGCAGCTGTTCTCAGCCTTCCTAGGCTCCTATGGAAAACGTCAGCTCATAGTTATCACTCTTTTTGATTACAGAAAAATAGAGCAATTTTTCTGTTGCAAAGAACTCAGAAAGCCCACAGCAGGTCAGAAGGTTTTTAACATTACAGATTCCTATTTGCAATCTCTGGGTTTATCTTGGGGATCATGTCTGCTCACATTTCATGGCATCCTGGAAAGGCTCTCAAGGCCACAGCACCCTGGTGGGAGAATGACCGGGGTAGGGTGGGAGTTTGCAGTGCATTAGCCACTCGGTGGCGACTCCTAGCACCAGGGAAGAGCCTGCACATAAATGCAAGGCAGTCCACTGCTCATTAGAAGTGGGGGAGCTTGCCTTGCATTTATATGACAGCATGCACATAGGCAGGTACCACGGAGGGGCTAACACCAAACACATTCACCTCCTGCCTTGCTTGTTGCAGCCTGTTCCTGCGCCCATATACCCACTGCACCCAGACACTATCGATGCCTTTCTGTGTGCCAATCCAGTGCAACAGCCCTAGCAGCGCCCCCAATAACTAACCCTTCCCCAGCAAACCCATGGGAAAATATCACTGTTCAGTGCAGTCACGGCACCTTGGTATTGCTTGGTTATACCTACACTGCCACTGGCAGCTAGTCAAATGGGCATCATACCAATGACCAGCAGAACTTAGCATCTAAGCAAGATCGACATCCTGTGTTGCCTCTGACCCCAGATACCAGTTTCCACTTTCCCCTGGCTGCAGAGTGCATCCGTAACAGCACAGCTCACCCTGCCTGGGCCACATGCTAATAATCCCAGTTTACACCACTGCCCGCCAGAGGCATGAAACAGGGCAGCGCTGCACCCAGGCTTGTGGTAGAGGTGCTGTTGAGCGCTGGAAGGCAAGAGGGGAAGATGTGGACAGCCAGGGCACTGCAAGATGCTGCGGGTACCCCCGAGCTGGAGCCTCTCTAAGCCACTGTGGCACAGCATAACCACAACAGCCCTGGCCTAATGCTGCCAAGTTTATCCGGGGCCCCATGGAAATATGTGCTCAATATAACCACCAACAATTGACTGGTTCTGCTTATTGTATCCCAAAAACCACAGCCACAGTCTAATCCTGGCCCCTTTTGCTGCACTCGGCTACCCCCGGCAGCAGAACTGGTCAGCGCCCATCTAACTACAGCTCGCTAACGTGCTGCTGGTTGGTATCCCCCCACCCAGGGATCTCTGCCTGCCACAGCCACGTCGACATAGCTCTGCCTAGGGTCCTCCTGGCATGATTCAATTTGGCGCATGGTCTAACCATGCCACTGACAGACCAAACTCTGCCAGGACCTTCCTAAGCCCTAATCACATGCCAGCAACCACCATCACCTGGCGTTGCAGACACCTGCCCGACTCCATCTCTCCCCATCTCCAGAGAGCTCTGCATGCCCAGACACTGCAGCTCGGCCCTCTCCATTGTGACTGAGCAACAGCTAATCAAAGCTGTGTGAACACTGGAAAGCCTCAGAAAACCATGGGATCTTGGAGGGAGGGTCTGGGGTCTCAGCACGCAGTCAGCCGTGAGTTAGGGCTGGGTTGGTCTTTGCTTGACCAGAACCGAAGAAGCGGGCAGCAGGAGTGCGGTGCTGTCAGAGGGGAGATGCCCAGCAATCACCTTATGGGTGGCACTTGCACTCCTGAGCCAAGTCCAGAGGACCTGGCTTGGCCACACAGCCAGCAGGGTGGGGGTTACCCATCATGCCTAACCTGTAGGAGCAGGAGAAGGGCTCGTGGGGCCCAGGCATGAGCCTGAGCAGTGGCAAGCTCCCCATAAAGCTCAGGGGAAGGGGAGTCCTTCTGGCTGGGGCTCTGGAAGCAGAGCTGGAGCAGGCAGCACACAGCCACCTCCAGCGGGGTCTGCTAATCCACCTCTCGGCGGATGGCGATTTCTGCGGGACCGCGAGAGCCTGCAGCCGCCCCAGAATTGAGGTTGCTCTGCCGGCGTGGGAGGGGAAGCCCTTACACACAGGCTGCCAAGGCAGACGAAGCCCCGCTAGTGCCCCGAGACCAGCCGCTGGCAGCGGTAGCGCTGTCCTGAGCGGAGCTGCCAGGCCAGGGTGACGGAGCCCCTTCAATGCAAAGCCTGCATGAGACCTCCTCATGCCACTCGTAAATGAACAGTGCCTGAACCCCCAACTCTGGGACAGGAACACCCCCTGGCAATGCCTGGAGTGAAAGCTATGCCGTCAAAATCTATAGCTGGAGCTGTGGGCTTTCCTCTCATCACAGGGGGTCCCAGCACCCCCAATGCCCTCACCTGCAGCCGAAACCCTTCAACTGCCAGCGATCTCTGGGGCAAAGTGAGCAAAGCCAGATCCCCGAGGACATGGGTGGTTGCTGCAACCTTTCCTTTTCCCCCTATAATCTACTCAGTAGCTCCCAGCCCGCTCGTCCCAGAGGAAGCTGGATTTCCCAGCCCAGCCAGCCTCTCCTTCCTGCGCCTTTCAAGCAACCAGCTGTGGAAAACATCCCCCAGAAGCACAAGGGGATGGAGAACAGCTTCCAGCGGCTGCCTGTGACCCAAGATGCCCTGCCTGCGACCTGGGGTCACTAAGCTGGGTCAGGGTTACAGCCACCTCCGAGCTGTCCAGCCGCATGCCCTGCCAGAGGTGGGAGCAGGCCAGGGATCGGCGCTTTGCAGGGCTCCAGGAAGGGGAGGCTGCGGTACCCTCCGGACCCCCTCCCATTGCTTGTGGCACAGGGGACCTGACCTGGGTGCAAAAGGCAGAGGGAGTGCCAGGGCAGCTGGGACTCTGCTGTGGGCGAGAGGCAGCCAAAGGGCTGAGAGGATGGCAAGGAAAGCGGGAACGGCTGTGCCAGCAGGAGGCATGGAGCAAGACGGACAAGCATGAAGGGCATGCCAAGCCGTGCCCCACCAGCCATGGGCACGCAAAGCCTTCGGGGCAGAGCTCAGGCCAAGGGGAGGCCCGAGCGAGGTGCTGGCATGCCCCTGCCAGGGGAGGAGGGATGCGGGAGCAGGGCTCCACTGCCATGAGGAGCTGGGCTGCCCTGTCACATAAGCGAAGGGGGAGCCCGCTGCCTTCCCAGTGCTCCGCTCGAGAAGTTTCGGCCCTTTTCTCATCGGCGCCTTTCTCGGCCGAGCCCCATCCTGCTTGCAGCCCATTCCAGTCACCCCCAAATGTCCCACCACAGCCCCTCGCAAGCCTTCCTCCCCAGCCCATCACCGCACAACCCGCAGCATCCGGTCAGCCATGCTTCTCGGCTGCCTCTCCTGCCAGCTCTGACCGCCGTGGGGGCAGCGACCTGTCCCTGTCCCAGCACACGGCTCTGGTGCCGAGCATGGGTCAGGACTGGCTGGTGGCCGGCGTGGCCCCGAGCCCCGCTCCCCTGTCCTGAAGTTTGGCTGCCCCGCCAGGACCAGCCGGGAACCTGAGCTGCCTCCCCCTGAGAGCGAGGGCAAGAAGCCAGCCAGACTGAACTTCACGGGCCTGCCAGCCCAGGGGGCGAAGTCAGGAGACCCCACCAGCTCCGCAGCACCCGTGTCATGCTCCGGCACCTGCGCTCTTACCTTCGCTGGTGGTGGAGGAGATGCAGGCTGCTATTGCAACGATAACGGAGAGCAAGGCAGTAAGACGCCCGCGCGCCCATGCCATGGTACGCTGGTGCCGCGAGGCGTGGGACAGGGGAGTCCGCTCGTCCGACGCACCTCTGGCAGCGAGTGCTGGGAGCTCCGGCAGACCCCAGCTAATCCAAACGCACTTTACACACACTTGCTCACATACACACAGGCGAGCTGCATGGGGGGGAGGGAACAGGCTGCCTGTCACAGCTTAAAAGCCAATTGGCTTCGTGGCCTCTGCAGAGAGCTCCCTTCCTCCCGCCCCACACACGCACGCCGTATAGATACGGAGCCCAATGTATGGATGCACTGTCTCCCCCCTGCTATTCCCCCTCTTCTCGTGCTGCCGGTGAAGCAGACTTGCAGCCTGCTCTCCTCTCGCTCCATCGCTGCCTTTGCACGCCAGCGGGCAGGTTGCTATGAAACCCAAAGTTGTGCCCAGAGCATCCCCAGCAGAGGCCACGGAGGCCCAGGTGGGCCTGAGCACAGGCAGTGTGGAGCAGGGCAAGAGGTAGCTGCAGAGCCAGGCAGACCCGAATTCTCTGCGCATAGACGCTTCCTGGAGCAGAGGCAGCAAACCTCACGGGCTCCTCATTCGGCAAACCACGGCCTTGAATGCAGGCGGCCCAGGTCCCAGCTGGGGGAGGAAACTTGTCATAAGTTTCCCCTGCCCAAACCCATGGTTCAGAGGCAGCCTCTGTCCCGCAGGCAACGGGCACAGGAATGACTCCCACGCTAGTCCGCAGGGAGGGTGCAAAGAAAGGGTAAGATGCCTGTGCACATATGCCTGCACAGAGGATCTGTGCTCTCTGTGTGCCCTGCCAGCGTGCAACACCCCGTACGGAGATGCGCTTCTTGGCAGTTTCCTGCGTTCTGGCTTTGGCAGCAGGGAACGCTGTGGCTAAGTTGGGTCCATATGTCCCAGCGTTTCATGAACACTGTTTGCAAATGTGTTTGTGCAGCTATATTGGTTAAGGTGCTCGGGCGGGCTGAACTAGAAGCAAGCACGCTTTAAAACAACACTCCAGCAAAACCTGGTTGCCAAGACCCTTTCTGTACCTAACCCAGGCTAAAATCCAAGTGCAAGGTGCAGACCTGCTCCTTGTGCATGGAGCAGACTGGCAGCTGCCTGGACGTAGCACTGCCATGCCGGCATCGTGGTGCTTTCATAGGGAGGTTGGCACACGCTGCTGGGAGAAGGGTCAGTACTAGGCTCCACACTGGAAACTCAGCAGATGCCAGACCTCTTCAATGGTTATTCCCTACTCAAGATATTGCAGACAGACACTGGCTGATGGGGTAGCTACCAGCAAACACCAATTTCTAAATCAGTGGCGATTTCCACGTTGCAGTGGATTTCTCAGCTGGTGCTTCACTCTTTAACACACATTGCAGGAAGGTCCTGCCCTGAAGACCAGTCTAGGCAAAGCAGTCAAACTGCCAGGAGGCACCAGCAGGTCCAGAGACCAGGACACCGGGATTTTCATTCTGGCATCTCTTTTTACAGCTTGGCTTCACTTGCTCCCCACCCCAACCCATTTTTGGTGGGTCTGACAGAGCAAACCAGCTTTGGGGAAGGATTGGAAGAGTCAGGAAGGAGCAGCCACTTCTCAAATGCCACATATAAAATATCTGCCTAATCTGGGCCAGATCCCATTGGGATCACCCCACAGCCATCAGGCAACTGCAGCATGGAGACAAAAAAAGCTGTCAGCCTGGACAGGCTCATTTACGGGCGTGCAATATTCCTCTTCTCCCACGTGCTGAGGCAGACCTACCCTCCTCACGGCAACCTCTTACAACCTACTCCGGCACCCCTGTGGGGCTGGCCACGACACTCCTCGGTGTGTGGACAACCCCAGCCCAACTCAGTCTCACCCGGTCTCCCACAGGCGACCACCTAACCTTGCCTGCTGCACCTCAGTGGAAAGTTATTGTGTACTAGGGAGACTGGGACCAGGACGAGTCCCCAGTACCTCTAATCCTTCTGGCACTGCTTTGCTCTTTACCTTAGGCCAGCTGCCTCCCAGCGTATACATCCTATTGCACAACAGGAGCTTCAGCAACTCACATAGCAAGCCCATGCTGCAACTCTACCCGCTATGACTGGCTGGCCCCAATGGTGCCCGAGGGGCTTCAGTCACATCCTCTGGCCTCCCCAGAGCTGTGCCCATGTCCATGCTGTACCCATGTTACTCGGTCTGCATTTGTTGAGCCTTCCAGCTCAGATCGTAGTTTCTGCCCACTCCGGCTCCTGCTCTTCCATCCAAGTTTCAGCCCCTTTGGCCTCAGCCCATCAGCTCAGGCTTCAGCCTCAGCTCCCTTTTTAAGGTTTAAGAACAGCCTGAATTCCCTTTCCAGTTAGACTCCTACAGCCAATTAAACACCTAATCCAGAATCCTGAAGCTCTGGCTATGCTGCAGCATTACTTTCTTATCAGTTTAACTCACAAGCATCTATGCAGATGCTACCATTACCCTGCTCGGCAAACCTTTGCTGCACATCCCTGCCCCCGGCACCCCCTGCACCCAACAGCCTCCTCCAGCCACTCCCAGGCCCCAGGGGTTACTCAGTGCATTCCCGACCAACACTCGAACCCTCACTGGTCCATAAGGGCAAATTCAAGTCAACTCTGCTGGGAGAACAGCACCACTCAGCAAAGTCTTTAACTCATGCAGACATCTTCATCCACGAAGGGAGACCTTGCCAACCCTATAGCAGCCCCTCCTGCTCCTGGGGCTCCCTCTCCTTGGGGACCAACACTTACCCACTCTGCAAGAGAGCTCCATCCTCCCGGACACCCAGGGCCACAGCTCCCCTTCCTTCCTGGAGGCAGCCTACCATGCTGGCCCAGCTGCTCTCCTACCAGCCAGTGAATCCCTGACTCAGCTCCAGCCCAGGGGTTTTCTATTCCCTTTTTGCCCCATTCTCCTCTGGCCATCCCTGCCTGGGACAGGCCCACACCTGGAATCACCTTCTCCCCCATCAGCATCAATTTGGAGCTCAGCCTCAGCCTAGAGCTCTGCTTCAGAGCAGCCCCTAGTTAGGTAGCCGGTCTCCCCTGGTGCGGGGGCACTGCCCTCCCCAGACAGGGGCTGTTTTCTCCACAGGGCCTAGGGCTAAGCCTCACCCTGCAGTAGAGCTCCCCTGCTCCCAGTCCTTGCCCCTCTGGGTCACAACAGTTTGGCTCTTGAAGAGGTTTTCTCCTGCCCACCAGTCCTTTTTCTGAGACAGGGCTTGGACCCCCCCCACCACCCTGTTACACTCCTGCCTGGGGCAATAAGTCCCTTCCTATCCTCCTGGGTGCCAGGCTGCTTTTCCTGCTAGAGCCTGGGGCTTTCACAGCTCCCCACAGGAGGTGAGCAGTGGTGATCCAGCCCCACAACACCACATGCTGTTAGGGCCCTTATGCCCCCTGTGCTTCCCTGCTTGCTGCACCCCAGCGCTGGATTCACAGGGACCTGAGTGTTCGGGATCCTCTTTGAGTGCCCCA